CAGGTTGTGGGAAACTTCGATGAAATGAATTTGAAAGAAGAACTATTGCGTGGTATATATGCTTATGGCTTTGAAAAACATCTGCGATCCAACACGTGCCATCCTACCATGTATAAGGGGCTCGACGTTATTGCTCAGGCTCAGTCTGGTAAGGAATTTTAGTGCAAATAAAATAAAATTAATAATTGAAAAAAATTAATATTTATGTGTAATTTTATTGTACATTTTATACTAACAAATGTATATTTTTAATTGTTCACAGGTACTGGGAAAACTGCGACTTTCTCGATATCAATTCTTCAACAAATTGATACTAATATTAAAGAATGCCAGGCCTTGATCCTTGCACCAACCCGTGAGTTAGCTCAACAAGTAAGTATTTCATCAGATGAGATGATTGCTTCAACAAAAATATTACTTTTTATTACAACAAAATGTTAATATAATGTTTTCTTATCTTTGTTTTTCAGATCCAGAAGGTTGTTATCGCTCTAGGAGATTTCATGCACGCCGAGTGTCACGCATGCATTGGTGGTACCAATGTACGTGAGGATATGCGAAAATTGGATCAGGGTGTTCACGTGGTCGTCGGTACGCCCGGTAGAGTTTACGATATGATCAGTCGACGAGCTCTTCGGGCAAATAGCATCAAACTGTTCGTTCTGGATGAAGCTGATGAAATGCTTTCCCGAGGATTTAAGGATCAAATTCACGATGTATTCAAATTACTACCCAATGAAGTGCAGGTAAAGAGATATAAAATATTTTTGACCATTGTAGATTTTTAATTACAATTGCCATCTAATAGATAATTTTATTTTAATTATTAGAAAATATCTTTTTTGGACAAGTCCACAAATCATACAAGACGAAAAAGTTGCAGTATACCTTATAATAGTCGAGTTAACAAATATATTATAAAATACAGGTGCGTCGTAATAGTGTCATTTTTGACAAATGTACACTATAGGTTTGACATACGCTGTTTACCATCAAATGTGTTCTTTTGTATGAAAATAATAGTGGCCTAAATGCAAACAGTTATTATGGCATAGCACTCCTAATAATAATCATAATGTCCTAAAAATCAATTAGTCACTCTTAATATCTCTGTAATAGCAGCAAAAATTTACGATTTACCTATTACAGCATGATGCCATCATATTGCACATATGTATAGTTATTTATATATAACATCTCAATATATGCGGTTTATTTCTTTCATCAAATGTATAAAATATTGATCATCACATTGTATCGATACATGGTTTCTTATGAAAGAGTTTAGTCTTTGTATTTCTAATGCAATTCTTAATTGTCTTTTCCAGGTTATATTATTGTCTGCAACAATGCCATCTGACGTATTGGATGTATCAAAATGCTTCATGCGAAATCCCATTCGTATTTTGGTTAAGAAAGAAGAATTAACATTAGAGGGTATTAAACAATTTTTCGTGTACGTCGAACGCGAGGACTGGAAACTAGAGACTCTTTGTGATCTGTATGACACATTGAGTATCACGCAGGCTGTTATTTTCTGCAATACACGGCGTAAAGTAGATTGGTTAACAGAGAGCATGCATAAACGTGACTTTACTGTTTCGGCTATGCATGGAGATGGAACAGAAAGAGCGCGATCTTATCATGAGACAATTCCGAACTGGATCATCCAGAGTTTTGATTACTACCGATCTTCTGGCTCGCGGTATTGATGTACAACAAGTCTCGCTTGTCATTAACTATGATTTACCTTCCAATCGAGAGAATTACATCCATAGGTAAGTTTAATTAAATTAGTTTTTAATTTTATGATCTTTAAATTAATGTTTGTAACTTATTTTGTAAGCAGAAAATTAAAAACTTTTAATTATAGAAAAAAGTAGCAAGAACTTGAAAATAAAATATAAAGATATCTAAATATTATTTATTTATATTTATCTAAATTTTATATTTAGATATGTAATTTTTTAAAATTTAAAATAGTCATCAATCAATAATCAGCTGATTTCGAGAAGATCTAGTACTATATTCCAATTTTATTTTCTTAAATTCGATTTGCAAATACTTTTTACATAAAAAGATATAATTTATTGAGAACTTTTATATACTTTTATATTTTATATCCACACAATATCAGAATTTCATAATATTGCAAATGTAATTTTTGTTATATATTTGCAAATTTTATATATATAAAATTATATATTTTTCTTTATTTTTACAGAATCGGTCGTGGCGGTCGTTTTGGTCGTAAAGGTGTGGCTATTAACTTCGTGACAGAAGAAGATAAACGAACCTTGAAGGATATCGAGCAATTCTATAATACGCATATTGATGAAATGCCAATGAATGTCGCTGATTTGATCTAAGTCCGACTATTGGCTATAATCCATTATAATAAAAAAAATAATAATAAAAAGTAAGTGACAGAAGCTCTCAGCTGATCGATCTCTCATGGTGTGTGAGTATATATTGAGTGAGTTGGTGAACTATATCGCTTATGTAAACGCGATCTAAACCAAAATATTCCAACGTTTTCATATTCATTTTGAATTATAATAGTAGATTACAGAAATAGTTATCTGTTGCGCTAGAGGAGTTAGTAGTACTACTATTATTATATTAGTGTAATTAGCACTACTGTTGCTATCGATATCGCTGCTGCTATTATTACTACTATTATTATCTCTATCGTTACCGCAATAGTAATATTACTATAAATATTATATTACTATCATTGGTATATTATTGATATTATTGATACTGATTGCTATCAAGATTATTTTTATTTTAATTTCTAACAATAATATAGTAATACTATATTACCATGATTAAAATATCACACCCTAGGGTGGAAATTAGAATTAAAATGCGAAAAATGCAGCACTATACAGTTGGATTATATTTTATCGCTATTATTGCAACAGGTTTTATATTACCCAGCATGCGTTCGTACTCTTATCCCATTGCAAGCCAAATGGTCATTGTAGAAATCTTGAAGTCTTATTTTTTAAGACTTCTTATCTCGTCTATTTTCCTCCAAGATATTTCTAACTGGGTGATTAAGTCTATTTGTTTAATAGCTCATATTTGATGCTTCTATCACCGCGATTACAACTTGTTTGTCTAGGTAGAGGTTTAGTTGGATATTGGAGGGGATATTTTAATCACAAGCGTTGTCGAAGAAGACATATATTCAAATTTAGGCAACATAAATTTTTGTATATCTAAAATCCGAGGCATACACACACATACACACCTTATTCATATTAAATAAAGTATTTGATCTTTTAAGAGAGTGTAATCTTTGCTGTTATGATTTTTATTTTATCAAATTTTATTCAATTCTACAATGAAAATCTTGAATAAACTGTGTGCAAGTGAGATTTCCAAATTTCGAAAAGGACTCTGTGTTGGGAATAAGTTTTGTGGTTTATGTGCTGAAAAAGTTCTCACAGTTTTCTTTTATTTGTATTTGCAGGCAGTTTTGGACAGTCCAGATGAGGGCGACATATTTTGGAAATAAAGACCAGATTTCCTGATTTAAAATCGAAGTTTTGTAAATCGATTACCTCTCTAAACTCCTTTCATAGAGCTTTTATAGGCTCTAGCAATATTTTTCTTTTTTTATACTTTTACATTCTTGTTGATAAAAGACAATGATCAACTCTTATATGGAAGATTTTTTTACATTTGTCAATAAAATTCTTTGTAAACACTTATTATCGTGTAAACTTCCATGCACTTATCGATGCCAGATATTAAATTGAAATGTTACATTGTGAGAACTTTTGTATCGTGTCTTTACAAAAATAATTAAAAATAATGCGATATCATACTCTATTGTCGTCATTAAACGTAAATTTGCAAAAAGTGTTAGTAATAGTTTTCGAAAATTTGAGCAAATAAAAGGAAATTGTATAAGCACTTAAGCACCTAGAAATCATTTTATAATCAATTTTTTGACTGTATTAACATTAACTTTATTTGCTCATGTATTTGGGATGCAGCTTACATTACTGCAAAATCCTCTCGAATTTCCGAAAACTAGTTATTAAAATCTTGTAAATATTATATAAATGGACTTTGAAAGAATAGACTGCCGTGTGTCTATTGTGTATTTGTATATCATATAAATAATATTTATGGCTGAAATGAACCTTTAAACTGATACACAATAAAATGATGTCCTTTAATTATATTTGTATTATATCTATCATCAAGTGTGAATTTTATGCTTGAAGTATTTGTGTGTGTATAAAACTATATGTTATACTTGGAAACTGTGCAAGAAGATAAAGAAGTTCTTCAATGTTTGTTGATTGATTATTAAAACTCAAAACAGGGAAAAGAGATACTGTATAAGTTATTATTAAGAAAAAAATGGGTTAAAGTGCACGAACGCAGATACATTTTGATAGACATATTTTTCGTAATATATATATATATATATATAACATATATATAGATTTAAATTTATACAAATATTTATAGTATGTGTAATATGTGTATGTGTGGAGATGTGCAAAAATCTTGATGTATTTAAGTTTTTATATATACAGTAAGTATCTGATATATATATAATTTTGACTTCGTAAATATATATATAACTACTGTACATAGTATAGAATAAAGTAATGACTCTCTTCTCTTTATGTTTCAAGGACTTTGTGCACCTGAAGTTATGTAAAGAATTGAAAAAGCACACCTTTTATTTTCTTAGAGCCTTTCTTTTTTTAGTTATGCATGACTTGTTTTATAAATTGATTCAACTTGATTTACTCCAATTCATATATGGAGCGCGTACAATTTGCGATATATCGACTTTGCGAATCGATATTGGAACATAAAGAAAGGACCAATCACAAGTGTCTAATTTACATGCAGTTTACATGATTGGTTGGCAATATTAAGTTTTTCGGCATTTTTATTTAGGTTAGGTTTGTCTAACACGTGTGTTTATAAAAATATTTTTATCGTAACTATATATTGGAGGAAATAACATAAAATAAATTTGACATTATGTCTAAGCGTCCAGAACTTATGGCACCACCTGAGGTGGTAAGTTGTAAATATTAATTTATTAATACTTGTGTATGTTCTCTTTGATTAAATATAATTACCAATAATAATTATGTTGATGAGTCTATTCAAAAATTAATTACATATTTTTTCTTTACATGTTAGTATTATAATGAAACAGAAGCAAAGAAGTATACACAAAGGTATGTTATTATATAAAATTTGTATTACATATATCTATTGTACATTATTTCTACAAATATAAAATCTGTACATTTCAGCTCCCGTATGATAGATATCCAAGTACAAATGTGTGAACGTGCTATAGAACTCTTGTTTTACCTGAAGATCAATGCTGTTTACTTTTGGATATTGGTTGCGGATCAGGTCTTAGTGGTAGCGTATTGGAAGATCAGGGACACTTATGGATTGGTGTTGATATCTCTTCATCTATGCTTGGTAAATATTTTTCATTATTATGCAATATAGTTATCTTTTACAAACTTAGTTCATTACGTTTTTTATATTTACTATTCTACTACTTCTATCAATTATTTTTTTAATTATGTTTTTAGTTTCTTTGTATAATGTAAAGGTATATAATTGATGTGTTATTTTGCAGAGGTAGCTAAAGATAGAGAAACGAATGGCGATTTGATCCTAGGAGATATGGGTCAAGGATTGCCATTTAAGGCTGGTGCATTTGACGGTGCTGTCAGTATTTCTGCATTGCAGTGGTTATGCTATGCAAATAAGGCTTCGCACAATCCTACAAAGCGTTTGTATCGTTTCTTTTCGACGTTATATGCATGTCTGTCAAGAAGCGCCAGAGCAGTATTACAGTTCTATCCAGAGAACAGTGAACAAGTTGAATTAATTACTGCACAAGCTACAAAAGCTGGCTTTTTTGGTGGTGTGGTTGTCGATTACCCAAATAGTACAAAAGCGAAGAAAATGTTCTTAGTTTTAATGACTGGAGGAGCTGTTCCACTTCCAAAAGCACTAGGTACAGAGACTGAAGATAGACAAACCGTCGCTAACTCGAAAAGGTTCGATTTTTACTTTTTGTCATCTGTTAACTTGTAATTTGCAATTTAAGCTGCATTAATTGTATGCTTCTTTTTATCTATTTATCTTACAATATATAAAATATTGATAATCGTATTAATTTTATTACAGGGAATATATTAAAAATGCCAGAGGTAAACCATTGAAGAAAAGTAGAGACTGGATAATAGAAAAAAAAGAAAGAGGCGACGACAAGGAAACGAAGTGAGAGTTAATACTAAATATACTGGACGAAAAAGATCTGGACGATTTTAAGGTATACTAAAATATAAAGTATTTTTAAAATAATTCTCTTCGTAGTTAATTATAAATAATAAGTTTATAAAAACTAACTGATATTTGTTTCTGAATCAATCAAGTTGGTAATAAGGAAAGTCAAAATAAACGAGCGTGCTTTAATTAATTTTATTATATTATTATTTAAGTAAACAACATAAATTGTGAGATACTTTTTTGCATTCCAAGGGGTAAAACTTTTTGAATTCTGTATCATCTAACCATTGATATTTTACATTACTAACAACATTTCCATCTATATATTTTGCTAAAAAATAAAATATTTTAGCACCATAAATTCCTTGCTCATTAAATTTCTTGGGATATTTGTATTTATAAAATCCAATAGGTGCATTGCCATAAAACTTGGCTTTTTATTCTGTACCACATATATCTTGTAATACTCTTTCTGCAGTCTGCAAAAAAAATAAGTTATCAAATGATATCAAACTTTTTTATCTTTGGCAATTTTATTGTATGTATGTATGTATCTAGAATGTATCTATTTGTGTGTGTGTGTGTATACAATTATTACAGAGAAAAATTATAAACATACTTGTCTCATGTCTCTCCTTCCTTTCGAATACCTTGAGGAGGTATCCAATAATATGTATTACCCACTTTTTGTTGTATTAATAAAAGTAGATTTTTGTCCAATTTCCATTTTAAAGTTGATGTTATATTTTGTTCATCAAATTCTAAAAACATATAAATTATTTGCTATAATAAAAATAATGATATAAATTTTATAACATATATACAATTTTCTTATAATTTTACAAAATGTGCAGAAATCTTCTCTCTTTCTCATATATTAACAGATCATTTTAATATGTGAACAAATATTTTTTTATTATATCAAATTTTGTCTGTATTTCATTATAGAAAAAAATATTAGCAACAACTTGTAATTATTGGCGCAAATGTAAAATTATTCAATTCTTCTGACTACTATCTTCAAAGTCCTGTGCAGTTTGTATTAAAATGTCTCTCTTTTCTACATCTTCACTTGAATTTTTTAGCTTTTCCTCTTTCTCCACTCTTAATTCATGATCACTTTTGAAAACTATTCTCATATTCAATCCTCTTTAATAAATTATAAAATTTTTGTTCCATGTCTTGCATCGGTTGTACTATTACTGGATGACGTTCTAAGCAAACAGCACTGTATAAATCCCATTTTTGTTTGTGTGGTGCTACTACTAAATGCTTGACTATCCTGACATTGAATCACTTTAGGATATACCATGGCAGCTTTTTTCAATGTACCTGTACAAAATGTTTATGATTTTTCTCTGTGTGATAGAAACATACATACAGATAATTATTTCATAGTTTAAATAGATCAATAATTAAAGTATAGAATTAGACATACTTTTTACATAAATATTTTACAGTAATATTTAAATAGAAAAGAAAGAAATAATTATATTTACCTACCCGATAAAATCTGACATGATTTACATGATGCAGATAATCCCGCAATTTGTTTAAACATTTCAGAAACCGGTTAGAATCTATATAATAATATACTATATAACCATAAAACCATAACCCATTACATCAAGAAAGGACTTCAGAGTTGCGTTCGGAAATCTGCCTGTCAAAGCGCAAATTTTGATTGACCAATCGGAGACCGAGAATCCCTTTGTTCTGATTGGTCAATCGAGTGCTTCTCCCTAGATGAATATATTTCCGAACACAATCTAGAATGCTGCTCTCTGGTGCAACTTCGCATTGTTCACGAACAATATTTGCGCGCTTGTCGTTCGTCGCCGGTCCGCGAAAGTACGTCTGTATATTAATTAGTATATATTAATTAGTATCTTTACGTCGTTAATTATCATATATCTCTGATCGCGTCGCGTGTACAGACATCGTGAATTCGTGATCGCGATCGCAAATGCGAAATTGATCTCGTCCGCGAGTCTCGCTCCTAACCACTCGTTCTCCCGCAAGCACGTTGTCACGTGACGCGTGACGTCCAGCTCCGACTCGAGTCCCGCCAAAAGTTCGCGCGCGCGAGTTTTACGAGGGCGGATCGCGAGAATTACCGGGCGCTTTTGACGCGAAAATTTCCAGAGTGTTTCGACGTTGTCGAGCGGATACTAAGCGGCGATTGCGCGTTTCCGGTCGTATTTCCGCATTATCGTGTCGAAGTATCGGTACGCGACGAATTTAGTTCGTAATTTTCGTAAAAATCGCAGGTCGACCACGACTACGGTCGCGCCGCCATAATGATATCGTTGCCCTCTCAAAATTTCTCGTGAATCGTCGTGTCGGGAATATTTAGTAAAGAGCGAGAAGTGTGTAGTGACCAATTCGGGAGTATCGGCGATTTCCGAGTGCGTCGGGAAGTCGTCTTCGTCGTTCGATGAGGCCCTTCGATAGGCCTTGAATAAAGCGGCGACGCGAAAACGGAGCATCGGTCGTGCGCGAATATGCTCCGCGATTCTCGCGTTTTGTCAAAACACGTCGAAAATGTGATAGCTAAAATCCGAGCGTCGCCGCGCGTCGTGAACGAAAAGAAGTAACGCGAGTGCAAAGTGCAAGTGTTTCGAAGCTTCTACGAGAGGAGGAGGAGGTCCAGGGCGGCATCGGGCAAGGGCAGAACAACTACATGGTAATTTATTTATTATTTATTATTACCATTTCTAACCATTAAATTCAATGTAAATAATATTTTTATTTTTGGTAATATTAATTATTTAAAATTTCACTATACTATTATATATATTATATATATACACTTTTATACTATACTATATAGTATTTATTATAATTTATTATAACTTTTATGTATTTTTACAGTTTACAACTTGGTTTACGGTGCTACGCATCGGTGAGTCTCTCATCAATTTTATTTAAATTTTGGGTAATAATTTTGCCGAAATTTTGCAACATTGTGTATTTTTGTGCGTGTAACTTTCTCTATATACTTTTGAAAGCAACAATTTTAATTTACAGATTCGTGTTTTATGCACAAAAATGCATAATATTGTAAAATTTTAGCAAAATTGGAGAAGACGGAGCTCTCCTTCAATATTATCATTTTATATATATATATATATATATATATATATATATATATGTATATAAACAATAAATTGGCAAATGTATAATTTCTAAAAAGCAAGAGAAAAGTACTTTATCGAAACTAGAACAGATGATAAAAGAAATATAGTTACCTATGTATTTATTTATTAAAATAATTGTAAATTATAGATTTATATGAAGAATAATGAGGAATAATAATTAATTAAAATTTTAAGTATTTATTATCTTAATTGTGAAATTTGATTACTTAAAAATATTAGCAATTTTAATAGTTTTTGTTCCAATTAATAGGATACAATTAAATATATATTCTATATACTGAAATATAATTTTCTATTCATATATTTGTTTATCAAATATTTAATAATCACCTATGTCGGCTATGTAGTTTTCTTTAATCGATAAATTATCCAAGATGAAACATTTTATTTTATTCTAAGAGAAGTATTTATCACAATAGGTTCAGCTGTAAATATCCAGTAAGGATATCAAGATTTTTAAATGTATCGATAGATACTCTTCTCTTCCCTAAATGTTTTTATCGACGTACAATGTGTTCTATAATCGTCTTTTATGCAATATTATGGTGAGATGGCACTAGTTGTCTATAATAATAATTTTGTATTTTAATTTGTGTAATTAATCATAAACTTTTTTATGGTTAAACAATATCTGTCACACA